ACAGGCATCCTCAAGTACATGTAAAACCATGGCATCCTCAAGCCAAGGCGCGTGTTCTGCCAGTGTTGTTCAAATTTAAACTGTTGTCATAAACTGTTGTCGACGGCTTTGAAGTATTTGGATTGAGGATTATGGAGATAATTTTGGTTGAGAACTATAACTGAATTAAACTAGAAATACGCTACAACACTTGGGGTAGGATTCAACGTATCATATGGAATGGTAGATGTTAATTATTCAAGGTGGATGGTCCACTAAAACTATTGCTTAAATGATTCATTATTGGTAAGTTGCATGCTTTGTTAGTCGATTGGGTATATTTAAGTCACTGGATTTGTTCTATATTTTCTAGCAGTTTTTTTACTTGCAAAAAATAAATGGCAAATAAAATTCCAATTAGATATCTATGAAGTGTTCTAAAAAAGGCTATGAACTGATTGTGTGGACTTGGTATGGGAGAAGGCCTGTTGATGGTTGTCTACATTTATATATTAGTATCTTATCTATTATATTTTAATTTGTATCCATGGGTTTCTCCAAATATTTGTATGTACTGGGAGTGGAGGTTTCCATGACTATTGAGCATTGATCGGTTAGAACAACTGATGAAGAATGGAGCCCTTTGGTTGGAATTTCTTATATAACTTGCGGCGTCGTAGGTTCCATAGAATTTGTTAAGGAAAGTGCATCGAATAGAAATGGCTTTTGCTAAGAGAACAGGGTATACTTTTTGTGATGCATGGCGGGTTGTCCTTTTAGCTTCTTAGTCATTGTGTATGGATGGTTTGGTTAATGCCGGTTTTAATCACTGACATGATCTTGGAGGTTTGGTTCAAGTAAAAATATCATGTCATGTTACCAGCATAGATGCTATTTTCTTATAACTACCCATTAATAATGAAAACCTATCTATGATCTGTTGGTCTGATCCATTTATTCTTTTTTTATTTATGTGATGACTTTTCTGATTACAGGAAGTTGAAGGTGTTACCATTCATGGACATGGAACAGAAGCTGCCCAGATATCTGCAGGTCAACCCTTTTTCTCCTCTTCGTTTCCAGGGCTAGGTCCACTGTTGAATGGTGATATGATTGGTATGCAGTTTGGCCAATGAGGACCTTTTGTTTCTTGTCTTTTTTCTGGTAAAGGGAGTATTATTCTCTTTGCTTTTTTAGTGGAATGTGCCTCTATGCCTTTTGTTCCTTGCCTAGATCCTGGTAGGACCTGCAATTGTCGTTTCTTTGTGCATGGAATGCTGGTGGTTTTGTTCCGTTGTGCATGAAAGGCTGGCTTGTTTGGAATTAGTGGGCTAGCTAGGTTCCAAGAGGGATGTTTGTTTATATTGATTGGTCAGATTGACCCCAAATCTCCAGGTTGGACGTGAAGGTAATCGCTTGGCTATGAGTGTTTTTGGTTTCAAAGTGTTTTGTGAATCAGGGCGCAATGCAATTGCAAAAATTGGACTGCAGAGATGGTACTCACTTTTGCCATGACTGCATTTGCAGAATTAGTAATATATAGCTCTTGGGAAAGTAAAGTGCGTATACATATAATCTGAAACTGGTGTGGTTCTTTCAATCCTACCTTGTTACTGTTGAGACACACCATAGAGCATGTTATGCAAAGAGTATTAAAATTTGTAAAGCGCAAAGTATCCACTCAGGTGCAACTAGCTGATGCTTACAAAAGGATTGCATTGTTGCTTGATTTTTGTCATACTAAATTCTGATATGGGCGAATAAAGGCTAGGTACAGAAAGAAATAATAAGTAAGAAAATTAATTTTATAATTGTTGATTACAAGCATGCATCTGTATGGATTTATGAGATTCATAAAATTTTGACTGTAGCAGAAGATATGACATAAAGAAAGCTGAACCACTACACGTGGGGAAATAGAAGATGATCCTGTATGTTTGGCTAGCCTGAGTGACACGATAAGTTCCTGAGAGCCTTGTGTCAGAACATAGTAAGGTTGCAAAGAAATGCAAGACAAACACCATGAAAATCTGATAGAGAGCACTAGAGTTCCAACAACAAAGGAAACAACTGACTCACTATATATTTGCTTCATCAGTACAGAATCTGTACAACGCAAATGGTAATCTCACAGAGAGAACTAGAGTTTTTTTCCTGAATTATGGCTACCCTTTATAGTAGTAATGCTAATTTGAGTCGATATATCGGTGTTCCGTACCATCCTAAAAATGCGTCTCTGGTGACAGTCATAGTTCTTAATTTTCATTGGTTCCTATATGGTTTCTGAATATTTGATGTTCTGAATATTAAGGAATTACTTACTTTCTAAAATATGTGCATATCCAGTTATCATCATTGAGGGAATCAATTGGCATAATTTTAGTGTGTACATATAGTTGATTAATATTCAAAATGTCATGCTATGCATGGGGTTTAGTTTTGCATCTTGCTTGCCTCTGTAGTTTTGCTTGCTTAATGGTCCTACTCTATTGAGTGTTGCAATGCTGACAAGTGTAAGCTGCATCAGGTCACCTGCGCACGATGTGTCCATTTGATTCAAATTTTGAAACATGAGAGCTGGAAAAGCAGAGGCTGGATTACAAAAACGGCAGCAGACTGGATGCTGAAGTTCATCTATCCTCCATTGATCCTTTGATGTGTACACATATAGAAGCGCTGAAGACTGTTCGGTGACTGATGTGAAGCAAAGTTCAATGGCTCCTTCAGTGCTATATAGAGTTGGATCAGCCATTCCGCAGTCGATGCAATGTTCGAAGCACTAAGCAGAGGTATTGTCACGTGGTTTCTGATTGCTTATCTGAACAAAAAAATCTGACTCGCTGTTTTGATTCAGCAGCATTGCTTTTCAGATAATATAGGAGAGTGGAAGGTTCATGCTCATTTTTCTTTTTTGTATTTTTTCTTGTTCATACTTGTACTATTTATTCTTGCAAATCTGTACTATTGAAATAGAAAAATCATCTTGTGTTGTTCAGACCCGTATACTTATTCATGCAATATGTGAATGAATGCTTATATTGGCATCCTGCTGTAGAAAATGGTTAGCTTAGCAGCAACTATTGTGTCTTCTAATTATGTCGCCTCAAATTTGTAGGAACGCTATTGCTGCTTTCGAAATGCTATTGGATCTTATAAAGATTTTTGGACCTGTTATTCATTCAACATTGTCAGCTAGCTCACCCATTGGAGTAGAACTTCAAGCCGAACAGAGGTATGCTCTCCAACTTTACTCCGGGAAGGGAACTGAGTGTTGCTAAGAGAGATGTTTAAAAAACTTGTGTTGCTACAAGCCACTAAGGAACTCGGTCTGAGGTGGCGAGTTGGTCGCGAACTTATGTTTTGCTTATACTGGTCTTGTCCCTGATAAGGGTGTGTATCGAGTGTTTGCCAATTTAGTTCTGGCATGTTGAGTCCACGGACAAGTATGGATTATTCTCTTTAGCTTTAGCCAATTTAGGAGGCAACCATTGTTTTCCTGCACATTTGCATATAGTTTCAGTCGCCATGATAGTAAACTTGCTCTCAACGACTCCGATCTTACAAAATGTTAGGTCTCCTTAGTTCCAAATATGGTTTTACAGGTTCTAAATTGTTTCTTTGATGCAAGGTGCCATGTTGTGGATAACAAGGAGATTATCAAGGTGGAGCAGCGGTGAGTATGGAGCCCATAATCATCAGTTCATCACCATGAAGCAGAAGAAATGGTATAGCTTTGCCATGGTGAGGCTCTCACCTTCTTTGTGAGTCCTTTGTTGATATGCTCGGGCTTAAGACTGCTTTTATGTCATCAAGGGTAAGGCAAGCATGAAAAATGCTCCGGTCGTCTATTATATCTTCTATGCTTTTTTGTATGTGGCATCAGTATTTATTCAATGGTTCTGATGTTTCTGTACAAAGCTGGAAATGGATAGATAGTACTATATATTAATATTGGTTGACCATAGAGTAGGTACACGTAGGTTTCCTTGGTAATGTAAAGCTGCAGATAACCAAGGTCTTCTGAAAATCAGAAACCACTGTACCAGTTTTTCATGTCTCGGTGAATCTGGAACAACCTTAATAATTATTCACAATTGCATGTAGTCTTTCCTCTGCTCATGTCCTAGCTGTCTGCTGTGTGTCTTTTCCTGATTCGTTTGTCGTCTTGCAGCTGGACTTTGGGAGCCGCTGCTCCTCGGCAACAGGAGGTACAGCCGCTGCCACCACTCCTTCACAGCGACGCAGGCCAGCGACGAGGAGGCTCGCAATGGTGGGGGACCCATAACCATCCGCCAGAGAGGAGAAAGGCATACCCACCCCTTTTAATGATTGAAATGCAGGTCCAGGGAAAACATCTGGTTAGTCTGCTTGCTGTTCTGGACATGAATCTCGCGTTTGGTTGAGTTTCAGATCTAATGGGAACTGAAACTAGCTCTTAGGATATAAATGTTCTTGTATAGTTTCAGTTTCATGTACCTTTTTATTGATAATATTAAGGATATGCCTCTAAGATCTGTTTGCCAATTTACAAATGTGTTTCCATGCTTCTCTGTCTTCATGTACTGTGGTCTTTTCTATTCACTACTCAAAAAAATGGAGTACTATGTAGCCATCTCATTCCAGATTTTTTGCCACTTGTGTTGCTCGCACTACTAAAATATTTTAGTCTATATGGGTTTTCAGAATGGCATGGTTGTAACTGTAATCTTCATTGTTAGTCAAAGTACTTATATTATTGAAATATTGTGGTTCTCTATGAATATCAATTCTCATTGGGTGACTGAATTAGACTCTGGCACGAACTACCATATTATGGTTATGTACCAAAATAAAATCTGCTTTAATCTAAGCTCTAAGACTACATGAACTACCATATTTTCTCATTTGTTGGCTAGAGTAAAAAAATAGGGGCATGCTCTAACAGTGGCACATTTTATTTGCAGCACTACTGTTGGGCCAATTGATGCTAGGTGTACATTGAGATGTTTCAGAAATAGATCCTTGATGCCGAACATAGTGCAATGGTGAGATCCACTTATTTATGATGTTAAGGATGATTGTTAGGCTGGCATGTGGAGCTGTAATAATAAGCTATGAGAAGGTCGATGCGTGAATTATATTCTCACTGTAAATAAAACACACTGAATTCTTTTGTTGACATGATATGTCCATCGGCAGGTCCTCACATCACAACACCCGAGCAAGGCTGGCAAGGCTTGCTCGCCATGGCCTACCACATCGGCGAGACGGGGCGAGCATGTGATCACCATCAGCAGTTCCTTCGTCACAACACCTGAGCGAGCGAGATGTTCAGACAAAGTTATATGTTACACTGCTATTGACATATGTCATAGATGGACAGTACATATCGTTTCTCTCCATGTTATAATTTCTGTGACCTCGGCATTTGAAAGACATGTCATCCGAATCGTCTATCATAACTGAACCATTACTATCACAAGCATCTTACTTTTAGAATTCATATGATGGTTCAGTTATCTATATTATGTGTGCCATTTGTTACCTCTGAAATATATATTATGTGTGCCCTGTCATGTTGGTTTATTTTTGGTGCCAAAATGCTGCTGAGCATTTGGTGTGACTGATTGCACTGCCCATTTAGTGTTGTTTGGGCATATGCCATGTATTGGACACAACCATGTTATCTATAAAGGCAATTTTCTGCTTATATGCATTAAACTGATCCATTCTTGGCAACTTTTCTTGCAATAATATATACTTTGTTTATACGCTTGGATAATGGGTTGAGTCAGGCACCACACGCCAAGGCGCGTTTCCTATCTAGCAGTATACGGTGGCAACGAAGGGAGATGTTGTTAGAACCTCCACGTACTACTTTTGTAATTTTTAGGTGCTACTTCAAATTATGGGGTTGTTGTATCCAGT